GCATGAATTACTAATAATGACAGCCTCCTTTCTCCCTGTGTTGAGGATGGAACTTAGAGTCTTACACATACTAGGCAAGCTTTCTACTGCTGAGCTATACCTCCAGAGCCATTTTAAGTTGTTTGTTTATTTGTTTGTTTATAACAGGGTCTCCCTACGTGGTTCAGGCTAGCCCGGACTCACTGTGTAGCCCACGCTGGCCTCGAACTCATGGTGATCCTCCTGCCTCAGTCCTGAGATTACAGGAGTGCTCCACCATGCCTGGCAGTTTAATGGACCATTTTTGTTTTTCTTTGTTTTTGTTTTCCGGTATCGGGAATTGAACTCACGACCTCGTGCTTGCCAGGCAAACGCTGTGCCGCTGAGCTAAATCCCCAGCCCTAATGGGCCATTTTTAACTTATGAAAATATCAGTTTTTATAGCTCAGCCTAATAATTCAGACCTTTTCTCAAGTTGCTATGAACTAAATCTTCTCCTAGTCTGTCTGGTATTAAGAAGACAACTAGTTTCGTTTTATCCCTTTCCCAGGAAAGCTCAGAAAGAAGAACATGGCGCACAGGCCGGGCCTGCCCAAGCACAAGGAAGTCCTTTCCGCTCCATCAACATCCCCGAGCCTGTGCTTCCAAGTGAAGACTTCACCAACATTTTGCCTTCTCAGGCCTACGAGAAAGGTACAGTTCTCGAGTCACAGTCAGTTAACCAGCGTCCCCCTCCCTGATTTCTAGGACTCAGTAATACTGTAGTAAGAATGAGCTGACGTCCTCCCTCTCTAGGAGACGAAACTGCGGCACCGCCCAGAATCTTTCCTCATTACTGGAAGTTAGAGGTATCCAGAAGTCTCAAGCGATCCCGAAAATCTGTCCAGTTTTGAAGATTTCTTTTCTAAGGAAAACACTAGTCTCGATCCTTTTGTTTCAGTTTGATTGTAAACAATTTATCGTACAGTCAATACTATACCAACCATAAGAGAAAACCGTTTTACAAATTTTACTCTAAAAATTGTTTTAATGGCAATCTGACTCAGCACCCATTCTTCTGTGAAAAAAAAACAAAGCAAAACCAAAAAAAAAAAAAAAAAAAATAGAGCTGGTGCGATCTGTGGGCTAAACAGTCACCAACCACGTCCCTGATCTGAGGGATGGGAACAGAGCTTGCCTAATGGCCCGCCGGCGGTACTCAGGAAACTAGCTTTCCAACCGATGGGATGATGGACCTGTGTTCAACTCAGGAAAAATAATACATTTAAAAATGTTTGCCACATCTGTGTATTCTCCACAATGTCTCTTTTTTTCTTGTCTTTTTGAGACAGGGTGTCGCTATGCAGTTCATGCTGGCCTTGAGCTCACTTTGTAACCCAGGCTGGTCTCGAACTTGCAAGGATCCTCCTGCCTCAGCCTCCCTAGTGCTGGAATTACAGGCATGCGCCACCATGCCCTTCTTTCTACACAATGTTTTGTAAATATTTTTACACAGAAAAGTGAATGTAAAAATGCACATTGTGGACATGACTTTCTTTCTTTCTTTCTCTTTTTCCTCTTTCTTTCTTTCTTTCTTTCTTTCTTTCTTTCTTTCCTCTTTTTTTTTTTCTTTTTGGTCTTATAGAGAAAGTCCTCAAAAGGTAGGCTCAATGACCAAGTGTCATCCCCTCAGAGGCAGGGTTTGTGGTTTTCTATCCTCATGGCTTGTGGAACAATTTGGCTTACACATTCACTGACAATAAGTATGTTCGGAGTAACCGAATATAAAAATCAAAATGAAATGGCTTTTACTTGGTGTCTGTCTTTACTTTTCATAAAAATGAAGTGAGTGTTTATTTAAGAGATGGCTAGGTGCAGCCCAGCACTCACTTGATCTAACGGGCAGTGGGGCCCGGTGGTTCGGTTGTCTTTGCTTCAGAACCTGGAGATCAAGTCATGGAAGGACAATCCCTGCTGGAGAAGAGTTCCGGGTTGGTTTGGGAGGTAGAGGTCAGATCAGCGGCAGGTTTGTGCCAGCTGGACATGTTCATAAGATAAAATACCAAAAATTGTATTTGAAAACAAATGTATGCATCTTTAGACAGTGTGCTATCCGTCACGAAAGGAATAATCGCAGGACTTGATACACTGATAGCAGCTGATTCAGATGACTCCAGTGCCCATGTGGACCCTATATAGATGTGGTTACTGTTTATTCTACTAAGTGGCTGCAGAAATTTGGGGCTAATGTGCTGTAATCAAAAAGTCTGGATACAGGGGCTGGGGATTTAGCTCAGC